ATTCTGTTTTATATCATTGTAATCATAGACGGTGTTAAGCTTGTGCCAAAATACAAATGGAGCGAACATATATGAGATGTAAATGCTATGCTACATGTGGTTCTTTATTCACAAATATAGACGTTCACATTAGAATCACTGTGTACTCAATGTGAACCTCTTTAAAGATCGACTATGAGTCACCCTTAATATAGTCACCCTTAGAGGTTTGGGTTAACTGTATTTGAGCCTAGCAAGCAGTAGGATTGATGCATATGTCTCCACAAAGACCGCAAGAGCACCCTCCAAAAACACTATTTTGAGTGTGCAATCCACAGCGCGTTATAAACATTTAGAGGTGCATGGCAGCGTGATGCGTGTGCACACCCTTGCGCCCAGTTTAATGTGAACCGCCTAACTTAATCTGTCTTTGCCATCAGAGTTATTGTTGTATAAAAATATATATTTAGAATAAATAAACAATGCTTAGCCTGGCAGGGCACAGGTACAATCTGGCAGCCCACCATGCTGCCAGATTTACCTGTTACCTTATAATATGCCCAGCTAAGTGTCAGCCAGTATTTGTCAAATTTTATTTCTACTACATCTGACAGTTGTTTTTGTTTCAAGTCAAAAATGTCTATTTTGTAAACATCTTAATTTACTCGGTGAGTTCAATGCATCTTATTGTTTAGCTGAGTTTAAATTGTTGCCAGGAAGAAATACAGATTGTTTCTACACAATAATTCTGAAAATAGTTTTTCTAACCGTGTTACAAATATGAAGTTATTGTTATTCCTAATGTGTATTTTGCAGTGACAGGAGGAGATGACCAAAAGGAAGTAATTCTTGAGGAGTTGAGTAAACATGTAATTGACAGAAAACTTTCTGAGATAAAGACTGATCAAAGTGGGGAAAAGAATCCAGTCAAGTTTGAAAATTTATTTTCCCTCAAGAAGAATGGGAATTCCACCAATGTGCTAGCAGTGCTAATGAAAGGAGTCCCTGGAATTGGTAAAACATTCCAAACTAAAATGTTCATGATCGACTGGGCAAAAGGAAAATCCAACAAACACATAAAGGCTTTAGTGACCTTTGATTTCAAGGAGTTGAATACAAAGAAGAATGAAGTAAAAAGCATGGAGTCTCTGCTGGATGATTTTTTCAACAAAAAAAATGCTGTGATTTCCATTGATGATAAGAATAAAATATGTTTTATTCTTGATGGTCTGGAAGAATGCAAACTTCCTCTTGACTTTGTAAACAACAAAGAAGTTAAAGACTTGAAGGAAGCAGCATCAACGGATGTGCTGCTGACGAATCTGATCAAAGGAAATCTGCTTCCTGATGCTCGTATTTGGATCATTTCTCAACCACAAGGAGTTAAAAAGATTCCTTCTGAATATATTGAGAAAACTGTTCAATGTCAAGGTAAGAATATTTGTCTAAGTCAACTACTCTTAATTTAGCTTCTATATTTTTGTTGACTTTGTTCAAGAGTTATATGATTTTACATCGTTATATAACTTTGCTTTGTTTGATTAGAAACCGATGAGCAACGAAAGAACCTACAATCATGTCTGAAAGTTAAATTTCTGAAAGAAATCACTGATGAAAAAGAGGAAATCAGTCATCCAAACCAGAGAACAACAGAACATATCATCAGAAGAGAAAATGGCTCTGAAGAAGTGGAAAGTAAGGAGAACAAGTTTACAAAAGTAGTGACATCCACTTCTGAGATCTTCAAAGATGGGAAAGGAAAGGAAACTAGAACTGTGATGACCACTGGAGGAACTGGCATAGGAAAATCTTTTCACATGAAAAAATTTATAAAAGAATGGGCTAAAAAGGGTAATGATACCTGGCCATTTTTCACCTGGATCAAGGATACCTTAAGCGGGGCAAAACCTGTTGAGCTTTTGTTCCTAATTGACTTCTCAAAACTTAACTTCATAAAAAATACAAACATCAGTTTGTTTGGGCTTCTTAACGACTTCTTTGAGGAGACCAAAAATATCATCATCTCTGACTATTCCCAGTTAAATATTATGTTTCTGTTGGATGGACTCGATGCATATCAACATTTAGACTTTGAAAAGTATAAAGAGAGTTCTTTGACTGATGTCAGAGAACCATCCTCAGTCGATGTGTTACTAATAAACCTTATCAGAGGAAACCTGCTTCCAAAGGCCAAGGTCTGGATAACCTCTCAGCCTCCAGCTGCAGAGAAAATCCCTGATGGCCTCATTGACAGACTGACAGAAATACGAGGTAAGATCTGCAGATGCTAATTTCTTACAAATAGATTGAACTTAAATGTATTTTCTAATATTTAGACTGTCATCAGTAAAACTACAAAATTTTGACTTGTAGTTAAACTACATAAAATTATATTAACATTTATAAATTAATTGGCCATGTTACTTTCAGAATGACTTTCAAGGATAAATCCTTTCCATTCCAGAGAGCCATGAATGTACAATAAAAATAAGTCTCAATGAAATATTAAGTTTAATTTATTAAAAGTGAATAAAGTTGATAAAAAACAATATAGACACAAAATATATTTAAAAAGCAGTAATTTCACTCTACATTTGACAGATTAAACAAACAATAACTGAGGTTACATTTACACAACAGGCAAATGTGAAAAAAATAAAATTATATATATATAATTCTGAAAGAAATCTATGCACACTGTAAAACCCAACAAGTCAAGTTAGCTCAAATGAATTGGGGAAACCAGTTGCATAAACTGATCTAAGTTTTGTAACTAAACTATTTGTTTATTTTATTACGTGATTAGAGTCTAAGGAACCCAAAGCAATTGACATGACGCCGGCTCCGCTCCCATGCTGACATAGAGGAATCCTCCGCCTTTCATTCCAGGGTACTTGTCAGCAACTGACCAATCAGCGTTGCAAGAGATGTACATCTGTGCTCCCAGTTGCACTTTCAATTCTCACAGAACTGGCCCGAGTCTGTTTCCAGCACATTTCTCTAAGCTAGGCTGACTGTTGAGTTTCAGCACCAGCAGGTTTAGATCAGGGTCTCTTCAAGGTTGGAAGGCGAAAGGCCGAGCTGGTCCTTTGTGCAGAAGTCGATGTCACTTTACTAGTTGAATCTTATGACACATTTCTCATAGAAGAGTTACATTGTAGAGTTATCCGTCTCCTGATGTTTATCGGTCCACACAATAAACATCAAAGTACCTGATATGCACTCTTTGCATATCAGGTACTCAGAACTTCCTGGTGCGTTCACTGACAGTCTGCACCATAAAATGTATAAGCACTGCTGTACACATTACAACTCATAATTTTAATTCAACACACAGCAGCAAGAAATTGCCTTAGCAAAAAATCTATGATCCCAAGTAGATTTTGAGTGATCTGCAGAAACCTCTGTAGTTTTAGGTTTTAGTCTCCTGTGTGCTTGGATTTTTACTACATAAAACCCCATAAACACAAAATTGCACAAGTTTAGTTTTTACAACTCATTCCTTTGTCACACAGAAACAGGTCAAAGTTTGCAATTGGTAGTCATTTATTGTTCGTGTTTTTATATTTTGTCAAAAGAATATATGGAAATATATAACATTATTTTTTTCCCTAAAGTATTTAATCTATGTTTTTGTTTATTTACATTGTATTTTTTCAGAGAAGCCTGATATCACAAGTCAAAAGAAACTCAAAAGTCAACTAAAAGATCAATTTACCAGTGTGTCTGAAGGGATTGATGGACAGAAGACCTCAGCTCTTCTCAACGAGGTTTTCACTGACCTCTACATCATAGAAGGAGAGCGAGCTCAAAATGAAATCATGCAAGTTCAGGATGCAAAGTTCAAAACAACAAATGAAGAAACATCTATTAAATACTGTGACATCTTCAAACCTGCAAATAGTAATCAAAACATTACGACTGTCCTTACCGTTGGAGTTGCAGGTATAGGAAAAACATTTGCCTCAATGAAGTACATACTTGACTGGGCAGAGAGCAAAGCAACAGAAAACATTTTTTTCATTTTACCACTTCCTTTCCGAGAGCTAAATCTGAGATCAGATAAAGAACACAGTCTAGAAGATCTGATTCATCAGTTCTTCCCAGCAATGAGGACATCTGAAATAACTGACTATGACAAGTACAATATTCTGATTGTTCTGGATGGTTTTGATGAATGTCGTCTTGATCTTGAGTTCAAAACCATAAATAAATGTAGTGATGTCAGAACACCAACCACAATGAAGGTTCTGCTGTCAAATCTCATCCTGGGAAATTTGCTCCCTAAAGCTCAAATCTGGATCACCTCTCGACCTGCAGCATCCAACAACATTCCTCCAGAAAAGGTTGATCGAATGACAGAAGTGAGAGGATTTAATGATGAGCAAAAGGAAAAATATTTTATGAAGCGATTCAATGATGCAGAGGAGGCTGAAAAAATCTGGTCATATGTGAAGAAATCAAGATGTCTTTACATGATGTGTCACATCCCTGTTTTCTGTTTCATCACATCAAAGGTTTTGGAGGACTTTGTTAAAAGAAACCAAGATGATGGACTGCCAAAAACTCTGACTGACATGTACACACATTTCCTTTTGCTCCAGCGCAGACAGACAAAAGCAAAATATAACACAGATCAGTCAACATCTGAAACCTCTGGAACGGAGACATTCAGTGATAAAACTAGTGATGAAACAATCCTATCTTTGGGAAAACTTGCTTTCAAAGGACTAGAGGAGAAGAACCTTCTCTTCACTGAAGAAGACTTGACCAGTTGTGGGACTGATGTAACCAAAGCTGCTGTTTTCTCTGGGTTGTTAACTCAGATCAAACGAGAAAATCATGATCTATACAAGCAGAATATGTTTTGCTTTGTCCATCAAAGCATTCAAGAGTTCATGGCAGCTCTCCATGTCTTCTACTCTTTTACTAACAAAGGGGAAAATGTGTTCACAGAATCCACCTCAGCAACCTCTGACCTTACTGCCTCAGAGTTTTATAAGAAAGCAGTGAACAAGGCTTTTGAGAGTGAACATGGGGACTGGGACATGTTCCTTCGCTTCCTAGTGGGTCTCTCTCTGGAATCTAATCAGGATCTACTTCAGGATCTAATGGATAAGAATGAAAAACACAAAGACGCTAGTAAGGAAGCAGCAGAGTACATCAAGAAGAAGATCAGAGAGAACAATGACCCTGATAAAAACCTTAATCTTTTCTACTGTCTTAATGAGCTGAATGACCACAGCCTTGTTCAAGAAATCAAAGATTATCTTAATACAGAAGAAAAACCTTTTGAAAATTTCACTGATTCTCAGTGGTCAGCTTTAACCTTTGTGCTGCTGACATCAGATGAAAACCTTGAAGTGTTTGATCTTAAGAAATACCTGGAATCAGAGAAAGTTCTTCTGGGAATGATGCCAGTGGTCAAAGTCTCAAACACCACTTTGTGAGTATTTTTATAAAAACTCTGGTAAAGCTATTACTTGTCATACTTATTCAGTGTTTTAGGATTTTGATGCAAAAAACAATTCATAGCTGTTCCAGTAGCTTGTAAAATTCAGCTCCCATTTAAAGCGGAACTTACAAATACACACAAGGGGGTTACGTCACAGGCATCAGGCAAAATATGTTACACCAGTTAAATGGAGAAGTAAATAAATAGCCAAACACTCAAATATGAAATTATGTTGACCTTTTGCAACAATGATTTATTACAAAAAACACAAACTAAGAAAATAATAATAGTTATCCTGATAAATCAGTAACCAAAACTCTCTCAAAATAAATTTAGGATAGGTTTAATCCACTTCGTTCATGTTAGTAAAGAAACCCAACTGGTTAAATGTCCAAATATTCTTGATCCTTTTTAACACGAATATTGTCCACAAACGAGTTCCATATCATGGGAGAATTTCTCCTTTTTAATCCAAAGTCCCAATCCAAAACGAAAAATCCCAAGCATCAAAAACCTCCACCCCAAAAAATGAGAAAAAGGAGTGGTACCACCAAAAATCCCCAAAAAGAAACGTAAAGTCCAGATCTCACCGGGAATGTCTTTCTTTTCCCCCCGGTGGCGTCCTCCTGCACCTGGCGGCGTTTCCTGTGCACAAGCTCCAATCCAGCTCCTAAAGTGCACGATCCGCGTCGCTGGGGCGAACTTTGATTTTCCGTTTTACTTCCTTTCTTTGATTTATTTGTTCTAAACGTTAAATTACTTCAAGTCTCCCGCTGCATGGATCTGACGGTGAGCGTCTTCCACTCTGATTGCGCCGCCCCGCGCCGACGCACACGCCCCTTTTTATACACTAAATCTCAGCCACACCTAAAAATCAGCATGACAATGCCCAAAAATCAGTTTTAAAAGTGGAAACTCTGAATAATTTTACAAAGAAATAACAGCAACTGTTATACCAATCAGATGATACATTTTCTCTTCAATGTATTTTATACAGGAAAAACAAACAAACAAACAAACAGTGGTTATGTTACAAGCTGCTTTAAAAATCTCCCCTCAGGAAACAAAACATACAAATATTGAGTTGTGAATTTGAAAAATAATCTAAGGCTGCCTTGAAGGGAGAGTAACGCTATTAAAGTTAAGGTCAAATAGCGACCAAAGCAAAATGTAAGCATGACAAACAGAACTCATCCTTACTTTGGTAAAGCATTGAAAGCTACCTGGTTATCAGTCAAATTGGTGTTTGGCAAGTTGCGTCATTTACTCTCAGTCTATAGACCATTAAATTAAATAATTGCCAATAATCCTTTTGGTTTTTCACATATAAAAAAGTGTTATTACGTTGGCACTACTTTTAAAGCCGTCATGAATTTATACCTTTGTATAATTGCCATCCTTCCATCAGTTTAATTTGAACTTTAACTAAAAAAAACTTTAACTAAAAAAACTCACTCAATCATAATCTTCAAATGACATACTTCATTAAGAGAAAATTATAAAATATTATTGTAAAAATACTCATTAAATTGCTTCCAAGTGTCTACTATATTTCATTAGTTCAGAATAATGCTTCATATTACTTTCTTCATTATGAACAAATACTTAATATTGTACATGAGAGTTAGGGCTTTTGCCATTGAAGGTGTGATTCTAGCTTAACAACACAAACATGATAACTTGTCTTTTACTGTTGTTTAAAACAAAACTCATACTTTGTTTCTTTACTGTGATCCTTTATTATTTTAGGAGAAAATCACACATGAATTTGTCAAATTAACTTGATTGTTTTCATGGATCTTTTTACAGACTGAGTTGGTGTGAGCTCTCTGGAGAATCTTGCAATGGTTTGACATCATCAGTGCTAACCAAGCCATCCTCAAATCTCACATTGTTGGATCTGAGTCATAATGATTTGATGGATGCTGGAGTGATGCGACTTGCTGATGGGTTGAAACATGTGAACTGTAAACTGGAGACTCTCAAGTAGGTTTTTCAGAGTTGTTATTAATGAAAGTAATATAACAACCAGTGTTATAATTAGCTACTATTTTAAGTTAAGTGTCAGCATAATACAAAAGTTCTATGAAAATAGTCAGGTACTGAGCGGGATAGAACTAAAGTTGAGAGATGAGCAGCCCATGTATAAATGAAATAATTTGAAAGTCTTCCCTTAAGGGTGACGGTGGGTCAGGAGGTCAGAGTTTATCCTGGAACAGGTAGGTTTCAAGTTTGAACACCATTGTGTTGTGGTTAGGACACGTCACCTGACTAACCTGCTGGTGCTCAGAGAACCTGGTGACCCTGGTGCATGGCAGCTTCTCCTCTGTTTGACTGTTTTAGGGAGGCTGTGGCTACAATGTAGTAGCTCGCTACCATTGGTGTAGAATGTGTGTGAATGGGTGAATGAAGCACTTTAGAGTCCTATGGACTTGATAAAGTGATAACAAGTTTAGGCCATTTACCATTTAAACCAGGGGTGTCCAAAGTGCAGTCCACTGGCCATTTGTAGCCGTTGGACTGATTTTTAAATTTTTTTATTTAATTTTTTTTGTGGCCCTGAACTTCAGTTCAAGAATGATACCATATTTTTTCTTGAACTTTTTATTTTTAATCAGGGTAAAAATATTAGACATAATTTTCTTGCAATGGAAAATACAAAGTACAACACAAACTATTCAAATATAATGAATATTATTCATTATATTTTGGGTCTACAATGAATAAGATCCCTTCCCCACAATAAATAAATCTAACTAATAACTTGATTTTTGTTTTCTTAACTTCTTGACTCGCGACTACTTTTGACATGATGATTTTAGCCCACCGGACAAAAAGCTTGGACACCTCTGATTTAAACCTGAGTTGAATGTAATTCTCTGAATTACATTCAAAGAATAAAGAATGTCACGTTGGAAGCAATGCATGAGGAGATAATCAATACATTTATTGTTAGAAAATAAGCTGCAATATTGTAATGTTCAGAGACACCATGTTTTGGACTCTCATTATTTGTAGACCATAACAATCACACATCATACAATAAATAATTTCTACTCTGTGAAATAAATCTACATATCTAATATAAAATATTGAACTTTTGTATCACTGTCAAATTTTAGTGAACTGTTTTTCTAATATAAAATTGTGTCTTTGTGCAGGTTGGCAGGATGTCAGGTGACAGAGAGAGGCTGCATTTCTCTGGCTGAAGCTATTAAGTCCAATAGAGTCTCATCTCTTAAACACTTGGACCTGAGTTACAATCACCCTGGAGACAAAGGGATGAGGGCTCTCAATGCAATAGTTGAGGATCCAAATAAGAAACTTGAGCCAGTGAAGTGAGTAAATAAATCAGAAAATACTTAGTGCTATTATTGCATTTGTAACAGCTTAATCTAATAAATGATGCACCATGTCTGAATAGAGTCTTTTTAATAGCAATCAGGTATTTATAAGGGATGCCACTGTTACTTAAATTGCTAGGTGTAGTTGAATATGTAGATGTCCTAGTTTAAGAATTGGTGAATTAAATACACACATTGCATTGTAAATAAGATAATAATGAGCTTTCATAAAAATGAATCTTTCTTATCTTGTTGTGCACAGCTTTGACTATGAAGGAAAACTTCGTCTAAAACCTGGTTGGAGTAAATGTAAGCTGTTTTTTTTCCTCAACACTTTTACATTTTTATTACAACAGATGAAACATGTTTATCTGAAAATGCAGGTTATTAGTTACTATGACTAATAATGATCATATTAAGGATATGTAAATATGATTTTATATATCAGGAAAGCACAAAATACTTAATGACTCGTAATTCTCCAAATTTAGCGGATTTAATATTTAAATGTATGGATTCACTATGGTAAAAACAGAACACATTCTGAAACTGTCAATGTTTACATTACCACAAATCTTTATTGATTTTCTTTTTGAACACTTTCAGATGGAGCAGATCTTATGTTCGATAAGACCACAGCAAGCAGACGGCTTGTTCTGGTTGAAAACAACAAAAAGGCAAAAACTGATAATGATGTCAAGAAGCAGAAAATGCGAAATACAAGTGACGAAATGTTCAAAAGGACCCAGGTATTTTGTGATGAGGGCCTGAAACGACTTTGTTACTGGGAAGTGGAATGGAAAGGCGTGGTGGGAATTGCTGTGGCATATAAAGATGTGGGTAGAACCTGGAACCGTGATGGTGGTCTGGGATGCAACGACAAGTCCTGGAGTTTGCTCTGCTCCAAGACTGGATACAAAGCCATGCACAAAAACACAAAAAAAGAAATCAAAGTCTCTACATGCAACAAAATAGGTGTGTTTCTTGACTGGGAGAGAGGAACTCTAAGGTACTACAGCATATCATCAGAGAAGCGGAGCTTGATTCATACGTTCAAAGCAAAATTCAGAGCAGAGCTTTTTCCAGCCTTCTGGTTTAAGAAAGGTTCTGTGACTTTGTGTGACCTGTAGATTTATGAGAGCACAAGTTAGAAAGACTGGAAGCACTTAGAGCAGTGTGAAGAAGTGTTTGCCCCCTTCCTGATTTAATTTTTTTGCATATTTGTTACACTTCAGTGTTTCAAAACATTAAAACAATTTACATATTAGTGACACAATTGGACACAAAATTGAGTTTTTAAATAAATGTCTTTATTATTAAGGGAGAAAAAAATTCCAAATCTACATCGTCCTATATGAAAAAGTGTTTGTCCCCTAAACTTAACTGATGAGGTCACCCAAAGCAGCAGCAATTAACAATTTACAATAACTGCAAATGAGTGTTTTACAGCTGTGCATGAATTTTGGCCCATTCATCTTTGCAGAATTGTTATAATTCTGTCACAGCTGAAGGTTTTTCAGCGTGAACAGGCTTTTTAAAGACATGCCACCACAGCATCTAAATTCAGGTCAGGATTATGACTGGGCCACTCCAAAGTCTTCATTTTGTTTTTTTGTTTATATGGCAGAGGCCTCTGAGCTTAACTGAGACAGTTCTTCAAATGTTGTTGTGTGACCTCTATGGTGCTTTTCCACTAGACGGCCCCTAACCAATACGGTCTCGGTCCGCCTCAGCCAGATTCATTTTCCATCAGTAGATCCGGCGTGACTCAGCCCAGCTGTTCTCAGATCCTCAGATCTACTTGAAGGGTAGTAATGATGAGGAGGGTACGGCACTGAAACAATGTGATTGACTGCTGACACTGAGTGGTTCGTGATTTACGTCATTGAAAACTCCAAACAATGTTATAGTTTAGCTGTGGACATGCGATCTGCTGTCAGAGAGCTGCTTAGGATGGAAGTGTGTAATTATAACTTTAATCACAAGCATCACCAGGAACATGTGTTGCAGCAGGATGACTGTGTTTTAGCAGAGCGTTGCTCTGAAGAACGATCAGCAATAAGTAAGAGACAAATGGTGAAGCTGTGGTCAGCTTTCTGATGGAGCTGCTGTTTTGTGCAAACAATGTGAAACACTGGAACTGTGTAATATTAGTTTGTGATGTGAATTTGATTTTTCCTATAGATTTAACAAAACAAAAAAGTTTATGTGTAACTATTGGTTTACATCTTTTGACTGAATTATCTAAATTCAAAAGGTTGCACATTTAAAAAAAAATGCCAGGATGTAATTATGATTATATGCATAGTGAAATAAATAGCTGTATTGACTCTTTATGTTTCATTTTGTAAGACAAAATGAAATATCTGGGCTTATTTGAGTTCATCAGAACCAGAATCTCGAAGTTCTCCATTGCTGAGTGAGGCATGTCAAAGACAAATGAAATGACTTGAGCACAGAGAACAAAACTAACAATTCTTTATAATATGCTTTGATCAAAGAAATGTGTTTTATGTTTGTGGTTAATGGGATGTGAGAACTAAAATAAAAGTTGATTCTAAAGCATCTCTGAAAGCTAAGACTGCATATTTTGTATTATGTGAAATATTTTTTCCTCTGAGTTTGATATCACTGTTTAGACAGGCTTCTGAACTTTTACTTTAAACCTGTAACATTAAAACTGTTGTTTTTATTATTTCTGAATTTTCCATGTACATTTTCAACTTTATCAAATACAAGCCTGTTATTTCAACTGTTTGATGAAATCCAGAAGATTTTTTATTGTACTTTTTTATTCTGTATTGAAAACAAATTTGGTGATTGATAAAACTGACCTTTAACTTTTTTCCTTTACCTTAAGAAAAATATTTTCTAAGACATTGAATATATTTTGTTTAACTTGTTCAGAGAAAAAAAAAATACTATCTTTTTGTATGAAGTAATTTAAAATCTTTGAAAATATAAACATGTGCTATGTATAGTTAATAAATAACTATTTTCTACAAAAATGTGTGTATGTATTTTGAAATGATAAAATTATCCAGGCACTGGATACATCAAATATTTAACTGTCTAAAAGAGAGACATTTTCTAATCTCATTGTTTTTATGTCCACAAATAAATGTTATGATTAGTTCTGTAGCATAAATGTGGTTGTGGTACTATAAATACATTTAGATTTGTCCTTCCCCTTTATATCCATGGTGCATCCATTTTNTAAGGCTGCCTTGAAGGGAGAGTAACGCTATTAAAGTTAAGGTCAAATAGCGACCAAAGCAAAATGTAAGCATGACAAACAGAACTCATCCTTACTTTGGTAAAGCATTGAAAGCTACCTGGTTATCAGTCAAATTGGTGTTTGGCAAGTTGCGTCATTTACTCTCAGTCTATAGACCATTAAATTAAATAATTGCCAATAATCCTTTTGGTTTTTCACATATAAAAAAGTGTTATTACGTTGGCACTACTTTTAAAGCCGTCATGAATTTATACCTTTGTATAATTGCCATCCTTCCATCAGTTTAATTTGAACTTTAACTAAAAAAAACTTTAACTAAAAAAACTCACTCAATCATAATCTTCAAATGACATACTTCATTAAGAGAAAATTATAAAATATTATTGTAAAAATACTCATTAAATTGCTTCCAAGTGTCTACTATATTTCATTAGTTCAGAATAATGCTTCATATTACTTTCTTCATTATGAACAAATACTTAATATTGTACATGAGAGTTAGGGCTTTTGCCATTGAAGGTGTGATTCTAGCTTAACAACACAAACATGATAACTTGTCTTTTACTGTTGTTTAAAACAAAACTCATACTTTGTTTCTTTACTGTGATCCTTTATTATTTTAGGAGAAAATCACACATGAATTTGTCAAATTAACTTGATTGTTTTCATGGATCTTTTTACAGACTGAGTTGGTGTGAGCTCTCTGGAGAATCTTGCAATGGTTTGACATCATCAGTGCTAACCAAGCCATCCTCAAATCTCACATTGTTGGATCTGAGTCATAATGATTTGATGGATGCTGGAGTGATGCGACTTGCTGATGGGTTGAAACATGTGAACTGTAAACTGGAGACTCTCAAGTAGGTTTTTCAGAGTTGTTATTAATGAAAGTAATATAACAACCAGTGTTATAATTAGCTACTATTTTAAGTTAAGTGTCAGCATAATACAAAAGTTCTATGAAAATAGTCAGGTACTGAGAGGGATAGAACTAAAGTTGAGAGATGAGCAGCCCATGTATAAATGAAATAATTTGAAAGTCTTCCCTTAAGGGTGACGGTGGGTCAGGAGGTCAGAGTTTATCCTGGAACAGGTAGGTTTCAAGTTTGAACACCATTGTGTTGTGGTTAGGACACGTCACCTGACTAACCTGCTGGTGCTCAGAGAACCTGGTGACCCTGGTGCATGGCAGCTTCTCCTCTGTTTGACTGTTTTAGGGAGGCTGTGGCTACAATGTAGTAGCTCGCTACCATTGGTGTAGAATGTGTGTGAATGGGTGAATGAAGCACTTTAGAGTCCTATGGACTTGATAAAGTGATAACAAGTTTAGGCCATTTACCATTTAAACCAGGGGTGTCCAAAGTGCAGTCCACTGGCCATTTGTAGCCGTTGGACTGATTTTTAAATTTTTTTATTTAATTTTTTTTGTGGCCCTGAACTTCAGTTCAAGAATGATACCATATTTTTTCTTGAACTTTTTATTTTTAATCAGGGTAAAAATATTAGACATAATTTTCTTGCAATGGAAAATACAAAGTACAACACAAACTATTCAAATATAATGAATATTATTCATTATATTTTGGGTCTACAATGAATAAGATCCCTTCCCCACAATAAATAAATCTAACTAATAACTTGATTTTTGTTTTCTTAACTTCTTGACTCGCGACTACTTTTGACATGATGATTTTAGCCCACCGGACAAAAAGCTTGGACACCTCTGATTTAAACCTGAGTTGAATGTAATTCTCTGAATTACATTCAAAGAATAAAGAATGTCACGTTGGAAGCAATGCATGAGGAGATAATCAATACATTTATTGTTAGAAAATAAGCTGCAATATTGTAATGTTCAGAGACACCATGTTTTGGACTCTCATTATTTGTAGACCATAACAATCACACATCATACAATAAATAATTTCTACTCTGTGAAATAAATCTACATATCTAATATAAAATATTGAACTTTTGTATCACTGTCAAATTTTAGTGAACTGTTTTTCTAATATAAAATTGTGTCTTTGTGCAGGTTGGCAGGATGTCAGGTGACAGAGAGAGGCTGCATTTCTCTGGCTGAAGCTATTAAGTCCAATAGAGTCTCATCTCTTAAACACTTGGACCTGAGTTACAATCACCCTGGAGACAAAGGGATGAGGGCTCTCAATGCAATAGTTGAGGATCCAAATAAGAAACTTGAGCCAGTGAAGTGAGTAAATAAATCAGAAAATACTTAGTGCTATTATTGCATTTGTAACAGCTTAATCTAATAAATGATGCACCATGTCTGAATAGAGTCTTTTTAATAGCAATCAGGTATTTATAAGGGATGCCACTGTTACTTAAATTGCTAGGTGTAGTTGAATATGTAGATGTCCTAGTTTAAGAATTGGTGAATTAAATACACACATTGCATTGTAAATAAGATAATAATGAGCTTTCATAAAAATGAATCTTTCTTATCTTGTTGTGCACAGCTTTGACTATGAAGGAAAACTTCGTCTAAAACCTGGTTGGAGTAAATGTAAGCTGTTTTTTTTCCTCAACACTTTTACATTTTTATTACAACAGATGAAACATGTTTATCTGAAAATGCAGGTTATTAGTTACTATGACTAATAATGATCATATTAAGTATATGTAAATATGATTTTCAATATCAGGAAATCACAAAATACTTAATGACTCCTAATTCTCCACATTTAGCAGATTTAATATTTAAATGTATGGATTCACTATGGTAAAAACAGTACACATTCTGAAACTGTCAATGTTTAAATTTTCACAAATCTTACTTTATTTTCTTCTTGAACACTTTCAGATGGAGCAGATCTTATGTTCGATAAGACCACAGCAAGCAGACGGCTTGTTCTGGTTGAAAACAACAAAAAAGTGTTTACTGATAATGATGTCAAGAAGCAGAAAATGCGAAATACAAGTGATGAAAGGTTCAAGAGGACCCAGGTATTTTGTGATGAAGGCCTGAAACGACTTTGTTACTGGGAAGTGGAATGGAAAGGTGTGGTGGGAATTGCTGTGGCGTATAAAGATGTGGGTAGAAGCTGGGACTGTGATGGTGGACTGGGATGCAACGACAAGTCCTGGAGTTTGCTCTGCTCCAAGACTGGATACAAAGCCATGCATAAAAATACAGAAGTAGAAATCAAAGTCCCTCCTTGCAACAAAATAGGTGTGTTTCTTGACTGGGAGAGAGGAACTCTAAGGTACTACAGCATATCATCAGAGAAGCGGAGCTTGATTCATACGTTCAAAGCAAAATTCAGAGCAGAGCTTTTTCCAGCCTTCTGGTTTAAGAAAGGTTCTGTGACTTTGTGTGACCTGTAGATTTATGAGAGCACAAGTTAGAAAGACTGGAAGCACTTAGAGCAGTGTGAAGAAGTGTTTGCCCCCTTCCTGATTTAATTTTTTTGCATATTTGTTACACTTCAGTGTTTCAAAACATTAAAACAATTTACATATTAGTGACACAATTGGACACAAAATTGAGTTTTTAAATAAATGTCTTTATTATTAAGGGAGAAAAAAATTCCAAATCTACATCGTCCTATATGAAAAAGTGTTTGTCCCCTAAACTTAACTGATGAGGTCACCCAAAGCAGCAGCAATTAACAATTTACAATAACTGCAAATGAGTGTTTTACAGCTGTGCATGAATTTTGGCCCATTCATCTTTGCAGAATTGTTATAATTCTGTCACAGCTGAAGGTTTTTCAGCGTGAACAGGCTTTTTAAAGACATGCCACCACAGCATCTAAATTCAGGTCAGGATTATGACTGGGCCACTCCAAAGTCTTCATTTTGTTTTTTTGTTTATATGGCAGAGGCCTCTGAGCTTAACTGAGACAGTTCTTCAAATGTTGTTGTGTGACCTCTTTAGGTGCTTTTCCACTAGACGGCCCCTAACCAATACGGTCTCGGTCCGCCTCTGCCAGATTCATTTTCCATCAGTAGATCCGGCGTGACTCAGCCCAGCTGATCTCAGATCCTCAGATCTACTTGAAGGGTAGTAATGATGAGCAGGGTACGGCACTGAAACAATTTGATTGACAGCTGACAGCATTTACTGAGTGGTTCATGATTTTCATCACTGAAAACTCCAAACAATGTTGTAGTTTAGCTGCGGACATGCGATCTGCTGTCAGAGAGCTGCTTAGGATGGAAGTGCATAATTATAACTTTAATCACAAGCATCACCAGGAACATGTGTTGCAGCAGGATGACTGTGTTTTAGCAGAGCGTTGCTCTGAAGAACGATCAGCAATAAGTAAGAGACAAATGGTGAAGCTGTGGTCAGCTTTCTGATGGAGCTGCTGTTTTGTGCAGACAATGTGAAGCACTGGAGCTGCGTAATATTAGCTTGTGATGTGAATTTGATTTCTCCTATAGATTTAACACAAAAAAAAAGTTTTTGTGTGCATATTGGTTTACATCTTTTGACTGCATTACCTAAATTAAAAAGGTTGCATATTTTAAAAAAAAATAAAGTGCCAGGATGTAATTATGATTATATGCATAGCAAAATAATCAACTGATCTGAGTCTGGACCAGCAATGAATTTCTATAAGACAAAATGAAATATCTGGGTTTATTTGAGTTCATCAGAACCAGAATCTCGAAGTTCTCCATTGCTGAGTGAGGCATGTCAAAGACAAATCCAATGACTTGAGCAAAGAGAACAAAACTAAAACTTCTTTAGATTATGCTTTGATCAAATAAATTTGTTTTATGTTTGTGGTTAATGAGATCTGTGAACAAAAATAAAAGTCAATTCTAAAGCATCTCTGAAAGCTAAGTAAATTTAGACTGCATATTTTGTATTATGTGAAATATTTTTTCCTCTGAGTTTGATATCACTGTTTAGACAGGCTTCTGAACTTTTACTTTAAACCTGTAACATTAAAACTGTTGTTTTTATTATTTCTGAATTTTCCATGTACATTTTCAACTTTATCAAATACAAGCCTGTTATTTCAACTGTTTGATGAAATCCAGAAGATTTTTTATTGTACTTTTTTATTCTGTATTGAAAACAAATTTGGTGATTGATAAAACTGACCTTTAACTTTTTTCCTTTACCTTAAGAAAAATATTTTCTAAGACATTGAATATATTTTGTTTAACTTGTTCAGAGAAAAAAAAAATACTATCTTTTTGTATGAAGTAATTTAAAATCTTTGAAAATATAAACATGTGCTATGTATAGTTAATAAATAACTATTTTCTACAAAAATGTGTGTATGGATTTTGAAATGATAAAATTATCCAGGCACTGGATACATCAAATATTTAACTGTCTAAAAGAGAGACATTTTCTAATCTCATTGTTTTTATGTCCACAAATAAATGTTATGATTAGTTCTGTAGCATAAATGTGGTTGTGGTACTATAAATACATTTAGATTTGTCCTTCCCCTTTATATCCATGGTGCATCCATTTTTCTTGAAGAGAGAACTTTTGCTGCAAAGTGCTCTCCATGTATTTTCTGTGTTGTCAACAAATAGCCCCACATCAATGTGACAATAATCTGATATTTTATTTAATTTGATTGTGAAATATTAAATGACATCTAATCAGTAGGTATTAGAGTTTCTCAGTAGCTGCCATGTCAGACTTGAAACTGGGTCTTATCTGGATTTTCCCTCCAGCCTCCAGCCATGGGAAACCTCACAGTGACAACAGACTCCCTGCAGAGTGAACCAAATCACAGATCTCCCTTCTAACTATAGCAAATGTGTCATTTAAATGTGAACTAGTATGTATGTAGCATCCACGCACGAAAGCATTAGTCTGGCTTGGATCACTTTCCACATACTTTGTAGCTATCATACAAGAATCGGCTGCAGGTTCAGAAGGAAATCCAGAGGAGAATGAATTTGGAGCTCTTAGGCAACTGTGGCATTTAATCTTTATTGAATGCACAGTCTCTGAGTGTTTGTGCGTTTCTGCGCTTGTCTGATTGCCTCTTTGGTGAAAAGATTTGTCATTCAGCAGGGGAGAGCATGGTTAAAACACAGACACACCAAATAAAGGGAAGTTCAGTTGTGAGGGCAAGAAAAATTAAAAAATGGAAACAGAGTGTGTGCTGCTGGTTATAGATAGTACACACTTAATGGAGGAGTGTTTGGGTTGTTGACATGATGTGAAAGGTTGAATGTCTGAACTGAAAATGAAAGAGTGTGAGAACATATCACAATGTGTTTGTTTGTTTGTGTGCATGTGAATGTGTCTAAGTGTGGTTTCTAATGTTGAGTGACAGGATTAAACACACAACAAAAACCTTTAACAGCCGAGGATCTGTGTGTCTTAAAGCCAAAATTGTTCAAGAAGAGATTAAAATGGTTCAGCAACTTGCTAAAGTTTCAAACAAAATGTAAGAAATATGAGGAGTTCATTGTTTGAATGTTTTGTTATGGGTAAAATATTGGAACAACAACCATTAGAAGTATTGATTATACTTTAGGAAATGTGGTAAATCCTTTGTGGAAAAGCATTTTTGGCAATGACATGACATTTTCTTTATTACATAATAATTAAGATATGATTTTGATCCATTCTTCCACTCAAACTGTCTTCAAATCTCAAAGGTTTTAGAGTTTCCTGTCTGCACACTCTGATCCTCAGTTATTTCCACAGATGTTTAAATGGCCACAAGACAATAGATTTACTGAGGTATTGTAAAGTTTGACTTACTCTGGTGTAGAAAACCTCTTCTTCAAACATGGTGTTTGCAATGACCTCTATTGATTACCCTTATTCACAAACACATAATCCAGCCAATTAAATAGTTATCTTTTACCCAAACCAAATGAATTTTGTACCAGAAAAGGGATGAACATATAAGGTTCATCCTAGAAGAGACGGTTAATGCGAGAAATTAACCCAGTTTTCAAATTCTACAATTAAGATTCAAAATAATAAAATCACACTTGACTTTTCAGAGAAAAAATAAAATTGTGAACCTTTATCATTTATATTAAATTTTTTATGTTTAATAGATAAAACAAGCCACTAAGTCAAGAACTGCATTTAAAAACTGAGCTGTTTAAATTCCAGTAAGTTTTGAAACAAACAAAACAAATATTCATGAATCCTTAAACCAAAGTCCAGTCAGAAAGTTTTACTTTCATGTCTAGGGGATAATAATAGAGCAGTAAAGACTAAAGTTCACAGTTCAATGTTGTTGGAATATTATTATATGCTCTTTTAGTTTTGTTCCAGGTGCTTTTCCAAAAGAGAGTCTTTCCTGCCCTCTACTGGTAAATAATATAATTCAACTTAAATAGCAAAAGTATGTCTTCTCTTTCTTCTTAACTCCTTAATCTAATTACAGTAAAATATATTATTTCTTATCTGATTTAATTTTTTATTCTAATCTGCATTAGTGTGGTAAATCTGAGATGTTGTAATCAACAAAGGAGCTGGTTAGACGCGTCAGCATCCAATAAAGCTGCGGTAAATCGATGACGGTCACAGTCAATACTGTAAATACCTCGTCAAATATATTTGCAACACTAATTTGTTTCACATATCATCTTCCTGTTGATGGTTTTCCAGGCAAGAAAGAGTCAAAAGGCAGACATGGCAATAAGTTCTGTTCTGCCTCTGATCGGCTCTATAAGAACTTCTGAAAAAGCCTTTTCTCATGTAAATCTCTCAGATTAATTCCTGTATGTGTGCGGCGGGTTGAAGGAGGGGTGGGGGGGTTAAAGGACAAAAGAGGTTGTGCTAAAGAGGGGCACAGATGAGAAGACCAGCGAGAGGATAAGAGGAAGTGGGGTAGAAGGAAAGAAGAGTAGAAAAGAAATGAAAGGAAGAGGGCAGAAAAAAGTGGAACCCTTTACTGGAGGCCTCATATTACGAGACTCTCCATATTTACCTCCATGGATACCGAGAGGCCTCCATCTTTATTTATATTCTCCTACTTTTAATCCTTTTACCCCTTTGCAATTTCCCTCTCTGGCTTTATTCTCCTCTCTTTTTTCACCATTCATCCTCGTCCTCTGATCTTTTCTCCCCGAGTCTCAAATCTTTCTCCTGCTTTTATTTCACCTCTTTCACTTTAGCTTTACTCAGCGGCTACTGAAGTAAAAGTTTTGATGTAAGTAATAAATTTTTCTCTCTTTTGCTTTCAAGTTGAGTCTTTACACCCTATCATAGCTCTGGGTTTTCTGCTTTATATTTATAGCTCCCTCCCTCCCTTGTGTATTCTCCAGCAGTGATTAATGAGGAAGTTGCTGCTTCAGGCTGATCCTTCAAGGCTTTCCGCCCAGCCGACCTCTTTCTGCGTCAGGAGTCCTCTCCGGCTTTTCCTCCCGTCTCATTTGTCCGCTCCCCCATCTCCACCTGTCTCCTCCCTGGGAATCTGCTGGTCTTTGTCCCCACCACGTCGCTCCTCGTCTATTTCTGCTTTTTATCTGCTCCTCTCTGTCTTTGCTCTCGCTGACAGGTCTCATGCTTTAAGTACAGCTGTGACAACAAAGAGCAGATTCACTTGTAATACTTTAAGTTTACAAAGTGATTTTTTTAAAGACAGACCAATCTTGGTTTTAATAGTTTCACACAGAGATCTGTGCCTCATTTCTGCTGATAGCAGATCAGGTAAGTGATAAATAATAGTTTTTCCCTCCACCATCGCCCTACTGGATGACATCTCACTCTTTCTATCCTCGAACACTTTCTCAATAATCCTCATAAAAAGCAGCTGTCAGACTCATCCAAAGCCTCAGAAGCGCTCAGCTGTCTGTATTTAACCTGACGATGTCACTGGTGATTAAGCCTGTTGATGTGTTGAGTTAAAGCTCTGACTGGATTCCACTTCTGCTCTGAGGTGCATGAGATGGAGTTTGACATCCTTCAAGAAAGATACACCACTGTGTCAGTACTGATATGCCTCAGAAAGTTTTAGATTTTTACAATGGCATTAATAAAGCATTTGTTAACTCAATCCATTTCTTAAGATTATCCAATCACTCTTTGAAAAATAAAGTTGCTGTTTTGGAAACTTTAGCTTTTCACTGTCTTATCTGTACTTGCTCTGTGAGAAATTTTCTTTTCCAGCAATCAGCATCATGGGTTTCATTAAGTTTATTTAAAACACACCAACTCACAATGCATGTCATCTCGCAACACATTCTCACTTCTTATTTGTCAGAACATGTGCACTTTACAAAGAAAACATTCGTTTAACGAACAAAAATATGTCAGATTAAATAAACTCATGTTTAGATTTTTAACTTATAGTTTAAAAAATAACAGTGTGCCAATGAGGCTAAAATAAGAGCATAACTATCTCTATTATTTGGATTATATAAGACCCAAATAATGGAAATAGTTTGTTTCATGTAAGGGTGTTTGTAACTGTTTTTGTTTTGTTAGTGGTTTAGAAATTGCTGGACCAGTAACAAAGTATCTCAAACTGCCTAATAGCCAGTTTTAGAGATTTTTGGTTAGAAATAATGTGCAGGATTTTGCCTAATGCTACAAAATGAAGTTGCTTAACTGTTGTGTCCAAATTTAATGCCACTTATAATTGAAAAGGTTTTCTTTATAGTGTATCCAAGGATCAATAACTTAATGTAAATCTTAAATGTTTTCATTGACAAAAGATTTTCTAAAATACCTGAATAGGTAATGAAAGAGTTGAGAGTTAATCCTGAAGCCAAATGGACAGATTGTTGTTAGCAGACCCAAACCCACTGGGTGGCTAAAGTTTTTTTTTTCCTTGCTGGCCACTGTCCATTTGTGAGGACAGAGCGGTAATCCCTTTAAATTAAAAGTGTCCTTTTCTTTCTTTAGGGGTTTAAAAGTAATAATCCTTTAAAAGAGCCCTTCTCCTGTTCCCTTTCTCTCTGGTCAATTTAGAAAGTCTACTGTAATCTGCTTTTATTTTGCCACAGGGTTTTCATGCAGTCAGTGTAAGTAGACCTAGGAGTTTCTAAATGATGGATAGAGTGAGTTTAAGTGACTGAATGAAAATATTGTGTTTTTTTTCACCAGTAGAAGAAGAATTTAGGTGAAGAAAGAAGGAAATTAAGTTGATTTTTTTTTTGGGTTCAAAATAAAAAACAAGGAATACATTGTAAGTCA